TGTAGTTATTAATCACATGTGATTAATGTAATAACTATAAGTATTTAACTTCTACCCCCCCCCCATAAAGCATTTAAAATCATTGGTTAAGGGGTATGAACTCACCTGTAGTGAGTGGTATGGATGAACTGAAGATGTAGTATCGCTAGGTGACAAATGAAGCCTTGAACACACTTTATAACCCTAGTTAACATATAATACCACATATATGTATCCAATTAGTCTTAAAATACTAATTAATAATGTTAATACATCCTAGAACATAATAAACACTTTATATAAGTGTTATAGGCCTTAAGGATTGCATCTAAGTTGTTATGGGACAATACTAGTGAGTTTAGGGTTTCAAAGGACTTCATACTTGAGTTTCCTCCCCATATAACCTTACACAAGGAGTTTACGGTCTTAAACCCTTGTGTTTACGGCCGTGAACTCCTAGACTTAGTGTAATTTTTTGTTTTGAAGTCCTAAATGATCCCTAGAAGTATTCCAACTTGGTGGATTAATTCTTGGAAGTGTTTAGGGCATAGATACACTCCATTGAGGAGTTTACGGCCCAAAGGCCAAATCCCTTTGAATTTATTGTCGTAAACTCTTATGGAAGGGTGTTTTTTATGCTTTCAAGTCTCATACACATGTAGGATAGGTTCTAGACTTTTACCCTAAGCAAATGGAGGCCTTAGGCTCACTTTGGTGCCTTAATTTGATGTTCACGGCGCAAGCACAATCATAGGGCCATAAACTCTCAAAAGTGGGGTTTTTGGAGATGTTTAAGTCCTTAATTTATGTAGGAGTAAACCTAGGTAATTGTCCAAAGCCTTAGGAGTGTTAAAAACACTTTTTGGTCCTTGTTTTTGGAGTTCACGGTCCAAGAACTCCTTGGGCAGTGAACACCTAAACCTGGGTGTTTCTTTGGTGTTTTCTTATCTTAAATACACTTACATACCATCCTAAGGTCGTTATTTAACATGTGGAAGGGACTAGGCATCATATAAGCCTCATATAGGAGTTTACTCCCCAAGATGTTCTTTGGTGGTAAAGTCCTGAATCTTGCAGTTTTGCTATGTAATAGAGGTTATTAACATGTTATAAGCTATATTATGTAACTAGAGAAGGGTACTCACGATTTGGGATGAAAACCCGAAGATCCGTGAGACAGAAATGGCTTTTCTCTAGTTGGAATTGTCAATAATGAATGAATATGGCTCAAAATTCTATATATAGTCTTGAGATTTTTGGCAGAAAATATTTTATTCCCGTAATGAACTCTAATGTAATAGAGTTTTAGAATAACAATGTTGCACAAAACCCTAGTGTATCCACTCTCCTGATATCTCCTTAAGTATAAATCCCGAAATACTCAAACTTATACAGAAAAGTCTGAAAATTTACTGTGACTGTTATAACTTCTATTGACCTTATAAAGTTCGTACATAATGGAAATTTCGGGTTGTCACATTATGATCTTGGGATGTAATGTTATGGGTTGTTATGTGATCCAATGAAATTTTTATAACTATTATGAATGAAAGTATGTTTTTAAAATTTGAAAATTTGTTTTGAAATTTACGTTGTTACATGCTGGAACTCTCCCGAAGTGTGGAAAGTGTAACTACCACCACAGTGGAGTATGTCAGGAAATGCATTGCCTGAATTGCCACAGGAAGGTGCACACTATCCGTTTCTGCAAGGCACCAACACAACCAAAATCCCAAGTCCGTGGAGTAGAAGTAAGCTAGGTCCGCTATGGTTGTGATGAGACATGACATTTCATGAGGGATTGCCCAATAACGAAGAACTCAGGTGCAGATGGACGGATTCTAATGATCACTGCATGCGAAACTACCCCGGAGTTCCGAGCGACCAGTGGTACGTCTTCGAATTAAGAATTGCTTTTAAAAAAATTTAATTTATCTTTGTATAAGATTAAAACTGGGGGAAAACATATAAAAGGAGTTATAATAACTCACTCATCTGAACAAATCATAACATTCACAAAGGAACTAGGGATCCATTCAGGGAAGCTATGATGGCTTAGTCTATACATTAGGGGTTGTGTATATCTGAGGTGTTCCAGACTTAGAGTGAGTGATTCCACCTTAATTCATGTTCCTTGTTTGGTTGTGGATCTGAGGCAGAGTAGGTCAGTCGACCGTCTTATTCATCTTAATTATGTGTAACCTGTATATGTCATGTGATCATAGTGGTATCGAGGAGGATCATAATATAGTGTATCTCCACTAGTTATCAAAACATTGCACTATTAGTACTCGTTATCAGGGTACGATTTGTTGCAGTGTTAATATCAAGGGAAAACAGAAAGCACTAGAACGTTTACATAGAGTACGTTGTTGAACACATTCAAGTGACACCGTCGTAAAACAAACGTTTCTTTCAAATCGGCCTAACATTTTTTTCTATAAAGCATCTGTTGTCATCATTCGTCATAAATTGGCGTGGTCCTCACCATACTAAGTTCATATGTTTCCATCGCCCTGACCATCAAATTCACGAAACCCTCGTCATCTGTAACGACAGCCCGACCCAGACCTTAGAATTTTCTACCTCGTATTCTAAGCCCCGAAGTACTCATGCGAGGAATACCTTGTCCTGCAAAACCTTACCGCCGTATATTCAGAAGACCTTCCCGAACTACCACTCGTCTAATAGATCAAGTTCAAGCACATAGGCTAAGGACGAATACAACCCACCTATCACTACTAAGTGTATGCGCGAGAGTGGCATATAGTTATGATTATGCGGATTTAGTATGTGTGTCTCCACCCTATCTCCTGTTCCTTGTTTGGTTGTGGACCTGGGGCAGAGTTGCACATCCGACCATGTTATTAATCTTAGTTGTATACGACTTGTATATACAAGGTAGCGATAGATGGACAAGGTAATAATCCTATCATGGACATTAGGGTAAAGTTGCCAGGTCTATGAGTAGGTATTCTCCCAGTCAAAGGAGCACAACCCCAGTAGTACTGCTAAGAAAACAAATTTCAGGATGAAATTCCATCTAACGCGTGGATGATGTGACAACCCAAAAATTTCTACCTTGTAAATTCAATCTAATCAAGCAAAATTCGGACTTGATTTCATTGCCTTCTAGCCTTGTTAAGGGTCATTCTAATAAGTTCTAAGCCTAGTACACTTAAGGATTGGGTGTAGGGTTATGACAACTTAAGATCATTGGTTTGCAATCAAGCCAGAAACTCCATCACAAGGAGTTTACTGCTGCAAACTAGGAGTTTATGGCCGTACACTCTTGGCTAGCCATAAACTCCTCCTATATACATAATATTCCTTCATTTTTTCACCACTTCTCACACATCCAAGTCTAGAAAACCGATTCTCTCTTAAGTATCATCGAGTTGTTCATCCTAGATCGTCAAAAATGTAAGTGTTTCTTCCATCTTTGAGTTGTTATCCTTCTTAATCATGTATCATCCTTTGATTTCATCCATTAAAATCATCTTTTTGGGTAGATCTCCTAGATCTTCATCTTTCACCAAGAACACACACTTGTTCTTGGTGGACGTGAACTCTCTTTGAGCCTCCAAAACGTAAGTATCCCTTCCCTATGCTTAGTATACGTTAGAAAATCATGTTAAACACCTTAGAGTCGGCCATTTGAATGGAACAAAAGGAGTGTATGGCCGTAAACCCTTGCATGGATGTACACACCTCAAACACCCCAAAATGGGCCTCCAAAGTGAGAATCTAGTTAATATTCTAGATTAGCAATCAACCCACTAGCTTTCCCTTTATTCAAAGGTCCTCTTATGCATGTTTTACCATGAAATTATGGTCGTACACTCCATGTCTGTAAACCCATGGCCGTAAACACCATGTTGTGACTGTAAACACCCCTTTGATGAATCACATGTGATTCTAAAACTTAGTCCAAGTCCCTAAGGGTGTTTCTTAACATGTTAGCTGTTTAAAACACTAAATTCATGCCTATATATGCCAATATATGTCATTTAGGACTTGTTTATGTCCTAGGATTTCATTCATGGAACTTCTCATCCTTACATGCATGTACAATTGAATCACCCACATAAGGTGAGTTTATACCCATGTAATCAATCTTTTAAATGTTTTAAATGCTTTTTTTTTGGGGGAGGGGGGGGGGAATACAAGTTAAACACAATGTTAAATGTGTAAATGTTTTGTGATAAACATCCTTTCAAAGGATTACTTATGTTTATAAAGTGATCAAATCATTTGAAAAACTCTTTTAAAGTTATGTTACTTTATTATTTATAAAACATCGTATAACTTAGTAGATAAATGAGTCTTTTCATCAAAGCACTAACAGTTAAGGTAAACATTCTAGTAAACTATAATAGGTATATTTTAGAAGTTCAAACATACTATAATGAGAAACAGGGAGGAACATACTATACACTATACAAAGAGAACATGAAATACTAATAAAAGAATACTATAACATTAATGTGAGCCACTACTTCATGACTTAGCAATTTACTTTCCAAGTTGCATTTGGTAACCAGAGTCTCCTAGAGGGAGAGCATGATTTTATGCATAGATCTATACGGGATTGACATTCTGCACCTTGCTACTAGCTACAGTAGGATTTCCAAGTCTACGGGTGACAAATATCACATCATCTTTGGCGCCAGTAGGTCGTCATGTCTATCGCGTGTCGTATCATTATGGTTACAACCAGATCTCATATTAACTCTAAATCAACAAACTGGTTTTAAGGTAGTTAGTACATTCACTTAGAAAGGGGCATATAATGCTAACTTTATGATTCCTTAGTAGATACATCAGGTATATACTTTAAAACAAAAAATTGTGGGTCTCGATTTTGGGATGTTACACACTCATAGATTAGCTCACTGGATCGATCGTAATAGCCTTTGATAGATTTATTCTCCTGTTGTCACCGAGCTTTTCTTAGTTTGTTCATTCCCTTGGAAATTTTCTTTAAGTGTGTTCCAGATTTCTTGGACAGTAGTGCAACCTTAAATACAGTAGTACACAACTTGTGGCAAAGCTCTATGCAACTCACAAAGACATATCTTATCATTAGCTTTCTGCTTGTTGGCTAGAAAGATCATATCTTCTGTTGCAACTGTTATACCATCTGTTTCAAGACAGTGTGCATAAGATGGACCTTTTTCAATCAATCTCCACAAGTCCACATCGATTCCATTGAGGTAATATTCCATACGATCCGCCAACTGATCGTAATATTATAGAAGCAACATCGTAATCTTATTAGTAACTCCAAGCAGATTGGCATAGTTCATCACAGTGTAAAGATTCAAATTCACCATTTAATCGAGTAAAAAGATGATAACCTTTAAAAGAAATAAATTGATACGAAATGAATGATTAACACTCAAATTCGAATGAAGAATTGTGTTTTCACTTGCGGAATGATTGAAAGGATTAATTGATTCAATAAGATAAAAACGCGAACAAGATTCTTTAAATGATATGTCAATTCCTGCTTTGATATCAATTGAAAAAGAATGTTTAATCAATCATAAATGAAAATCAAAGTACAAATTGAACACACAATGTAAATAAGATCTTTGATTTAACTCAATATCCAGATTAGTACAAGACATAAGTAGAGAGATAAAGTAAAGTGTACGCTAACGCAAAAAACCTACCTCTTATTTATGTACCTACTTTATTTATAGAGTACTCAACTGATGAAAAATGTATACTAGGACTTCGAAATTATCAACGAATCTACAATGTGCCTAGTAAATTACATACACTATCACAGTCTCGTTCACCTTCGGTATTGACATACCATTCACTACTGAGACAACTACCTAAGCTTCAATATATCATAACGAATAAGACTCTACATGGGTAAAAAGACATATTATGAGAGAAATGGTTTTTCTAGTTTATTTTTTGAAGGTAAACTCTACTTTACTCCTATAAAGTACTTATAAATCCATCTAAGTCCCTGACCGGACTTGAACCTTCGACATCATGGAGGGAGGATAACACCTGATACCACCACCGTTGGGCTAGAAGCCCTCTGGTGGTTCTGCTAGTTTGTAACACATATAGATTCCCATCCACTGAATCCAAAATAAAACACACAAAAATTCCAATGAATTTATTTATCGTACATCACCTTCCTATTTACATTTTATTGTTATGGTTTATGTGGGCCTCATAAAATAAGAAACAAACTATAAAAACGAATCACACAACCTTTTGGGATTAAATGAACCTCAAACGTACTTTGGCTTAAAAAACAATAATATAAGTTGATGATTCAATATATATGGTGGTTTTGATAGCACTTGTTAGCAAAATATTTAAACCATAAGACCAAATAATATTATTGAATCACATGTATAAAATAAAGTCATACATTGACGTATTGATGTGGAAATTTGACGACGAACAGGAATTAGTGAGTGATGATCTTCTTCAACAAGACAGTATTCTTTCATGCAACATTTAATGACGGGGATCAAAGATTGTGCAGAAGATTGGTGTGTCCTTGTATGTTGCACCATCCACTATTTATACAAAAATATTAAAACTCCCATCACACTATTTGATTTATTAAACTAATTAAATGACAATGAATAGCATTTTGTAACATATCACACATATAATAACCACTAAATAGAATTTTTTAAATATTATGTTAATCATTAAAGAAATCAAATATCCTCATATTATTTGTTCCTATCACTTTTTATACATTAAATATTGTGACATGTCATATTTAATAAAATTACTAAAGTTTTACTACATGTGTCGTCATGAAGATGGGAAGTAAGAAAAAGTAAAAGCTATTTAATTTTTCTTTTTGAAGAATTAAATATCCTCCTTTTTTTTGCTATCTATCTCCGTACCACTTTTAGATAATAACAAATTTAATAAACATTTATTAATTTTATTAAATATGACAAACGTAATGATATTAAATGTGTATGAAGATGGGAGAAATAAAAAATAAGATAATATTTAATTTCTCTTTAGATAATAAAACAATTTTATTTATAATAAAAGTTTTGTTACATAATTCCCCATATAAGTGGATTATTGTGTACCAAAATGAATTTTAATCTTTTATTTGACACTCAATTAACATGAAAATTAGTCTCTAACATACTTTCACTTAAACATTTATCAAAATAAGAGATAGAAACACATTAATGTTTTTAGCGCCATATGTACACTATCTAGATCCGTCACGATCCTACATATATTAAATCTTGAGATAGAACAATATGTTGTCGAAAAACAATTCCAAAACTAGATTAGTAAAGAATCTCGGTGACAGTATCTACCAAGACCTCTCTTTGATGTGTTAGGTGGCACTGTGAGACACAATATCATAGTCATGATAGTCATGAATATCTGATGTATTTGGCTTTATTTATCCTATTTTGATAATCTCTGGAACTCAAACAACCTTAAAGTATTTGTTTGCCAAAACACCATTATAAATACCGGTCAGAAATAATATTTCGAAAAATATTGTCTACAATTTCAAACTATTTCTTATATTTTAAAGATATTAACTTCATGGTTTTCAAACTTGTTCAATAATTTATAAGAGAAAAATATTAGTAACAAAGAGTAGAGATTCAGGCCTATGCTATTGAAGATAGAAACGAATTCAAAGATGATTTTTTTTTCAGATATTTATTAAGATATGTATTCTGATATTCAAACATATTATTCAAAAAAAACAAAAGATAATGATTTTCAATGTCCATAATTCAAAGGAATGACAAATCATGTAAAGTGATATTGCATTAAATAAAAGAGATAATGACTTAAAAGTGTAATGTATTTTGGCTTTCGATCACATTTGATCACTAAATTTTTTTCATGATGTATTAACCCTTCAACTTATTGAAACGTGTAATTTAAGCAAAAATAATTCAAGAATATTCATCTAGAGTCAGAACCGTTTAATGACTAAATGTGAACTTCCAATTTTGTTCACATTTAGTCATTAAACATTTAGTCACTAAACTCTTCGTCATACGATCTATATTGAGTATCTTTATCTTTAGCAGTAAAAACTGTCGTTTATGTCCTAAATATATGTCTGAAATCACGTTATATATTTTTCCTTCAGTTTCTTTGTGATTGAAGCTGCTCCTACTGCATTTTTAAGTGTTGTTTCTACTACCTTATATAATAAATGTATTTCACATGATTACTATAACATCCTCGCTTTTGTGACCTCAATATCTCACTTAATAACATTTAGACTCATTTATGTGATAATGACTTGAAAGGGTAACAAACATTTAATTTTGTTCACATGTAGTTATATAATTTTTTTCGTGCTTGATTTACTCTTAAATTATTTGAAATTGTTCACATTTTACCCTTATGATCGGCTAAAAACGGTCATAATGGTAACATTTATACGTTTCAACAAGTTCAAGGTTTAATACATCAGGAAAAAAAGTTTAGTGACCAAATACGATCAAAAGTTAAAATACATTACCCTCTCAAATCATTATGCATAAATAAAAAGAGACGACTTCAAAAAGTATCAATATTCATATATTTTTTTCGAAAGAGAATTTTCAAATATTTGTACTTCAAAAATATTAAACTATCTATTTAATTCGAAATACGCAGTACATTTTTAAAATTCAGGATGATTTTCGGTCATGTTCATAGGTTTTTGAAAAAAAAACTTATTATGTGAGATTTTTTTTAATGTGGATTGAAAACATTTTTGAGAAAAACATTTATATTCTAAAAACATATGCAATGGAGTAATTACAGTTTTGTTCCCGGTGGTTTCATCAAATTCGGATATTCAGTCCAACATTTGAAAATTTACAAGATGGATACCTACGGATTAAAGAAATTGAACTACACATCCTTAATCCAATTAAAAAGGTTATTTTACCCTCTTTTATATATATATATATATATATATATATATATATATATATATATATATATATATATATATATATATATATATATTCAAAATTTTATTCGAATATATTTTTAATAATTTTTATAATTTGTTCGTTTATATTTTTTTGACATTTAATTAGGATAATTTTTCTAGCTTTGTTTTTGATGTTTTGTATGAATATATCTTTAAATATTTTTTTTATCGTTTGTTTTCTTATATATCTGTAAAGCTTTTTATAAATATTTTTTTATAAAAAATATACAAAGGTTAGTTAAATGAGAATATGATTAACACATATGAGGTGTATAATTATTTTTTAATAGGATTATTGTATAGGCTATCTGAAATTCAATACGAGTATCAATTGCTTCAAATTAAGTTTTTTTAGTTTTATAATTTTTTTTACATTTCGTTTCAAATTGAAAACGTTAATAAGAATTCTTATAACTCAAACACACGTGTCCAGGTTTTCGAGTTCATTTTTTTTGTTTCTAAAAATTTTGTTCGTTTTTCGAGTTATATGGTTTTTCAATTATCTTTTTTTATCGTTTTTAGAAATTTTGTTCGTTTTTGAGTTATATGGTTTTTCAGTTATCTTTTATATAACTTTGAACTCCTTTTCATATTTCGGTTAGCATATCTATTCATCTTACTAAAAATATAATTTTAAACCTAATCTAAGTTAATAATATTCAGATTTAACGAACTTTGTTTTACATATTTAAAAAGTATAAACACAAAAACCTGAAGAAAATTAAAATGTACTCAAACAACACGCTAAAAACTAAACGAAATTATTCAAAAAATCATAATAAAAATATAAACGAAAAAAATATAAAAAAACATTAAACAATATATTCAAACTACACACCAAAAAAATGTTTTTTACATCATTTTTCGTTTATATTTTTACGATGTCTTTTTTAGTTTACTTTTAATTTTTGGCGTGCTGTTTGAATACATTTTAATTTTTTTTGACGTTTTGTTTGTTTATACTTTTTGTAAAATGTAAAAAAAAAAAAAAAAAAAAAAAAAGTTTTGTTAAATTTGAATATTGTTAACTTAGATTAGTTATAAAATTATTTTTTTGAATTAGATTAATAGATAAATTAACTGAAATATGAAAAAAGGGTTACAAGTTATATAAAAGATATTTGGAAAAAAGTACAACTCGAAAACGAACAAAATTTCTAAAAATACCAAAATGAACTCGAAAACTTTGACATATGTGTTTGAGTTATATGAATCCTGATTAGCATTTTCCATTCAGAACGAAATATAAAAAATAATTAAAGCTTAAAAAATTTAACTCGAAGCCCTTGACACTCGTTTTTAATTTTGGTTAGCCTATACAATAACTTTATAAAAATAATTAATTATATACCTAATATGTGTTAATCATATTATCATTTAACTAACCATTATATATTTTTTATACAAAAGTATTCATAAAAAGCTTAAGTATTTATAAAAAGCTTTACAAATATATAAAAAAACAAAACATCAAAAAAAATATTAACTGATATATTTGAACAAAACATTAAAAAAACTAGGAAAATTATTCAAATAAAACGTTGAAAAAATAGAAATGAAGAAAATATATAAAAAAAAAAAAACATTAAAAATATATTTGAATATATTTTTTAAAAATTATATAAAAATCATAAAAAATATAACTAAATAAAATAAAATATAAACGGCTAAATATAAAAAAATTAAACAATTATATATATATATATATATATATATATATATATATATATATATATATATATATATATATATATATATATATATATATATATATACACACAAATATATACATTAAAGAAAATGAATTATATAAAAGTAAAGGTAAAATGGTATTTGTAAGTGGATTAAGGATGTGTAGTTCAATTTTTTAAAATCACACGGATGTATACTGTCAAATTTTCAATAATTAGACTGAATATGCAAATTTGAACAAACCATAGTCAACAAAACGTAATTTAGACCCCGTTTAATAGTTTCTTTTTGTGAAAGTATTGTCTGGGAAAGCGCTATATAGTAAAGTTTTCTGACCGGGAAATAAATGATGTTATTTGATTGTATAGTTGATTGATTGTGCTGAATGATAAAAAATAATAATATTATCATGTTGTTGTATATTGTGATGGATGAAATTGCGGAGTAACTATAAAAGCATATAAATTATCATACAAAATCAAAAGTACATGATAATCATTTAAAAATCCAAATACGATGTCGATAAAGTTGTTGTTTTTTTTTTTTTGAAGTTGATGTAACATTGTTATTTTTTCTGGCAATTTTAATTTTTTTATAACTTAACATGTGGTTCTTGAACCGGTTTATATCTAATACACGTGCGATGGATGAATTATTTTAAAAAGAATCAACCCTATAAAAATGAATTAAAGAAATTAATAATCCAATTAAAAAATATTTATTAAGATATAAATATTATATATTTATAAATAATATTTATTAATATATAACAATCCAATAAAATGATTTAATCCATAAAAAGTAAATAAAAACATAATTATTTAAAAGAAATTAATAATCGAATAAAATAATATTAATTAATACATAAATATTATATCGTAAAAA